TTTTTTTGCGCTGTCAGCTCTGTGCCCTCTGGCACAGCGCGCCTGCCCCATCCCGTAGAGATGTTGTGGCAGGTGTGCGAAGAGCTTGGGCACTTGGACGCAGAGGTTTTCGTCCTCTCGTCGTGCCATTTTCTTTGCGTGGTGACCCTGGTGTTTACCTTGGTCAAGGTGCCAGCATCCCCCTCCGCTGCTGGCTCGTTTCCTTGGGCAGCCCAAGGTTTTGGAGGCGAGGCGTTGGTGTCAACAAAAAGCTTCTGCCGCTAATGATGCTGCTGATGCTGCTGCTGCTGCTGCTGATGATGATGATGATGACGAGGGCGATAACGATAACGATGATGATGCTGATTCTGCTGATGATGAGACTGATGCTGGTGATGCTGATGAGGATGATGGTGCTGATGCTGATGATGCTATTGAATACGATTGTTATTCGGCTGCTGATGCTGATGATCATGATGACGATGCTTACGATACTGCTGATCGTTATGGTTAGACTGACGCTGGTGACGACGAAGACGACGCCGATGCTGCTGTTGATGATGCTAATGATGAGGATGCTGATGCCGATGCTGACAATACTGATAATGACTGAACGATCTTGCGGATGATGCTGATGATGCTGCTGATGATGATGATGATGGTGTCGATGCTTCTGATTATGAGTCTGCTTATGACGATGCCGACGACGTCGACGATGCTGATGATAATGGCTAATATGATGATGAGGGGGAGGACGACGACGATGACAATGGCGATGCCGATGACGACGACGATGGTGGTGATGCTGATGAGGACGACGATGATGCTGATGACGATGCTGCTGCTGATTATGATGCTGATGATGAGGATGATACTGTTGATGCTGGTGGTTATGGTAATGATGTTGTTGATGCTGCTGCTGCTGACGGTGATGATGAAGATGACGATGCTGATGATGACGGTGGTGATGGTGGTGGTGATGCTGTTGATGACGCTGCTGTTGATGCTACTGATGATGGTAATGCTGCTAATGATGATGCTGATGATGATGATGCTGATGATGATGATGCTGATGATGCTGATGATGATGATGATGGCGATACCGACAACCATGATGCTGACGATAATGCTGATGGGGATAATGCTGATGATGCTGATGTTGATGTTTATAGTGATGGTGGTGATGATGATGCTGAATCGGATGGTGGTGGTGTTGTTGATGATGATGGTGATGGTATTGATGAATATGATGCTGATGCTGATGCTGTTGATGATGATGATACTGATGATGGTGATGCTGATGACGATGATATGATGCTGTTGCTGATGCTGTTGATGGTGATGATGATGCTGATGATGAGGATGATGATGATGAGGAGCAGGAGGAGGATCATGAGGATGATGAGAAGGAGTATGATGATGATGATGATGATGATGATGATGATGATGATGATGCTGATGATGCTGCTGCTGCTGATGATGATGATGATGATGATTCGTATTCTTATGATGCTGTTGATGTTGCTGCAGATGATAATGAGGCTGATGGCAGTGATGATGCTGGTGATTATGGTGATACCGGTGGTGATGGTGATGATGATCCTGATGATGATGATGATGATGATGATGATGATGATGATGATGATGATGATGGTGATGATGATGATGATGATGATGATGATGATGATGATGATGATGATGATGATGATGATGATGGTGATGGTGATGGTGATGGTGATGTGGAGGAGGAGGAGGAGGTTCAGACAATTCGGCGAGGGAGGGAGCGCGGGAGGGAGGGAGCGAGGAAGAGACGGACGATGATGAGAAGCGGGAGGAGGAGATGGTGGAGGAGGAGGAGGATGAGGACGTAGGTGCACTTCGACAGTCTCAGGGTGAAGAGTGCACCAGACTCTTGCAGGATGTGAATCTTCCGGGGATGGTGGCCGCCCCTCTCTGTCCTCTTCCTGGCAGGACAGGACGGATGGATCTAAGGCTTCCCTCAGGTCCTGCGAGGCTATGTGGGGGCTCACCACCCTTGGAGAAGACTGTTGGCGTATTGCTTATGAGGGCTCTTGCTGCCTGCTAGCGGATTCCCACCTCTAGACCAACGGTGCTGATGGACTCTTCACGCACCCCCATCCTTCCTTGGATGGCCACATCACGGATGGAGCCTTCCCTGCCTTGTCCCTCTTCTCTCCCAACCCAACGCTAAGGTTGGCAGCGTGATGTCTCGTGTTGACTCAGACTCACGCAACACATCAGGACTCTGACGGTCCACCTTCCAGGGTTCGAACGACGTCTACGGTTCGTGGGAGAGCCTCAAATGTTTGAGCGATGGGAGGGGTGAGGTCCCTCTTGCAATTCGGCTTCCTGTGCTAATCCACTCTGGCCGTTGATGGTGTCTGTTGTCGTT